TTTGTTCCTGAAACTTTCAGAGTTTCTTTCCACAGAGGGGACACATGTTGATGTAGAAGAGACATGAAGAAGAGGGGACACATGTTGATGTAGAAGAGACATGGAGAAGAGGGGACACATGTTGATGTAGAAGAGACATGGAGAAGAGGGGACACATGTTGATGTAGAAGAGACATGAAGAAGAGGGGACACATGTTGATGTAGAAGAGACATGAAGAAGAGGGGACACATGTTGATGTAGAAGAGACATGAAGAAGAGGGGACACATGTTGATGTAGAAGAGACATGAAGAAGAGGGGACACGTGTTGATGTAGAAGAGACATGAAGAAGAGGGGACACGTGTTGATGTAGAAGAGACATGAAGAAGTGGATTTTGCATAATAGGTGACTTTTAACTAAATATTTGAACAATACACGTTTAATTTCTAAAATGTCCCTGTTTGTTTTTTGTTTGTTTAAAGAAATTGTCTTTCAGTACACACTCCGGTACAGCAGGGGGCGGCAACTTCAAACGTTGGCTTTAAGCCCGCCATTAAAAACACTGAAGAAGAAGAAGAGAGGAACTACTTCCGGTTGACGGTGTTCACGTTTTGATGTCCTTGGTGGATATTTCATAATAAATGCGATAAATATCACTTATTATACGTGTTGTTGTATTCCTCCGGATATCTGACGGTGGCGGGAGTTTGTTCCGCATCCAGTGAGTCGGTATGTGGAAAACATTTATATAAAATAATAACAAATAACCTCTGTGTTGTTTTCTGTTAGCATGAAGCTAACGTTAGCATGTAGACAGATGGGTGATTTATGAGTATAAGTACAAAAGCTGAGTATAAGTACAATATCTGAGTACTTTTTCTTTTACTCAAGTACCAGATCTGAGTACTTCTACTTTTACCGAAGTACAACATGTGAGTACTTCTACTGTTACTGAAGTACAAGATCTGAGTACTTCTACTTTTACTCAAGTACAAGATCTGAGTACTTCTACTTTTACTCAAGTACAAGATCTGAGTACTTCTACTTTTACTCAAGTACAAGATCTGAGTACTTCTACTTTTACTCAAGTATAAGATCTTGAGTACTTCTACTTTTACTGAAGTACAACATCTTGAGTACTTCTACTTTGACTCAACTACAAGATTTGAGTACTTCTACTTTACTGAAGTACAGGATGTGAGTACTCCTCTCCCCTCTGCTGCTCAGCAGAAAGTCAATGTGCGTAGAAGGTGAATTTAAACTCTGTGTAGTTCGTCGTGTACTCCTATCATCCTATTCGTTCATATCTTAAATACACCACGTATATGGATATGTTTTTGCTCTTCTTTCTCAGACAGAATGTTTGTCCCTCTCTTGAATCTTGTGAGCATCGTTCACAATAAGTCACCAAAGGGTTTGTCGTGTTTTTATGAAACATCATCTTTTAGAAACGTTACATCATCTGCTCTGCTTTTTAGAAATGTCTTTATTGTGGAGCTTGAGGCCGGCGCTGACGTCTCTGTTTCACGGTGAGTGGGAATAACTGTGTGTGTGTGTGTGTGTGTGATGAAGGACTTGTATGTGAAGAGCTTTGATGAGTCGAGAAGACGTGATAAAAGAATATATTATTATATATATATAAGTACAGAAAATGTATCATTTACAAAATGGCACACATTCATTAAGACAACGCCTCATTTGCATATTTAAACATATCATTCAGAAAATGTGTAATATAAATAATAATTGTGTTAATGTACTGAAGTGGGGGGTGATGCCTGTTAGTTACAGTTTTGCTCAGCTGCAGTGTCTCCCTATATAATCTGAATGTCCCCTGCCTGCAGCCTCCCAGCATGCACCTCTCTGGTCGGGTCGCACCATGGCCACTCTGAACCAGATGCACCGTCAGGGGAAACCCAAATCTCCGCCCCAGCACGTGGGCGCCACGTTCGGCCGGCCGCAGCTGAAGGCCGTGGTTCTGAAGACCATGATCCGGAAGCCCAAGAAGCCCAACTCGGCCAACAGGAAGTGCGCTCGCGTGCGTCTGTCCAACGGGAAGGAGGTGGTGGTGTTCATCCCCGGGGAGGGACACAACCTGCAGGAGCACAACGTGGTGATGGTGGAGGGGGGGCGCACCCAGGACCTGCCCGGGGTCAAACTGAAGGTGGTGCGCGGGAAATATGACTGTGCTCACGTGGTGAAGAAGACTCACTGATGAGAGAGAGAGAGAGAGTGTGTGTGTGTGTGTGTGTGTGATGAAGATGTTGTGTGTTATTAAATGAAGTTACCATGAGGGCGAGTCTTGCTTTGGGTTCACTGCGAGGCCAGAAGTTTCAAGGTTCAAGGCTTTTATTGTCATGTGTTCATAGCTACAGTGTAGACATGTCAATGAACATCTTACCCCTAGATTCCACCGGGTCCGTCTGCGGCGCGTTACGACTGCGCCGCTGTGCTCACGGCGATCGCAGCCAATCTAGTGAATGAGTGCTATCCCACCACACGTGGCGCGTTACGGCTCAGAAGCGCCTCGGCGCAGGGCCCCTCTAAAATTAGGATGAATCCTATTTTTGACGCCGAGCAGCCGTAACGTAATGTCGGGCTGGCAGGAAGTGGAACGGTCAGAGCATATATATATATATATATACAAACTAATTTTGCAGACCCTATCCCTCCGTAGTGTTTCAAGTAGGAGGAGAAAGGCCAGCGTTCTCCGGTCTACAGGCACTGTGTGTACATTATATATATATAGAATAATTATGATGATGAATGCATTTTTTTACTACTAAAATACAGCAGCACATCTTTGATTCATGTCGTTTATAACTGGAATATTATTATTATTATTAACTTAGTCTGCACAAAGTAGTCTGTCCAGGAAATATGCTCAAATCAACAAAAACTGCGAGCCGGCAGGCAAGACGCTCCGCTTCTGAAACGCTTCTGAAACGCGCCCGGTAGGGTATGACGCCGGACCAAGGCCGCGGCGCAGACGGACCCGGTGGAATCGAGGGGTTAGACTCCTCCTCCAACAGAGCAACCCCATAACACAGATCAAATGGTGCAAGAAGAGTCTATATACAATTGTAATTGGAATATGATATATTGGATAATAATGTGTAAGTTGCAAACAGATGAATGTTATGGATGTTCTTTCCAAAGTTCAGGTGTTTAACGGTCCGATGTGGACACTCACTTTCATGTTTTTATTATTTACGTATTTTCTGGATTTGACCTGTAAGAAAGAAATCGATGAGATGTCAAACTGGATCTGCAATCATTAAAGGAATACTTCAGGCAACAATGCAGATTCTATCCTTTCCAATGTGGAGATGTGATATTCAAGGTGTATTCTCATAACATAAACACAACTACGGTTTAATTATGTGTGAAAAAAAACGTAGATTGCCGGTTCCTAAGAAAAAGGTTTATAGCGCTGTGAGCATGGTCTGCAGAGAGCATTTCTCCACGATCCCAACGTAGCAGCCCGAAAAACGTTTACCCATTTAAACAGTCGTGGTAGATACCTTGTTTG